GTCAGAACAATGAGAGCAGACATTAATACACGCTGCCGTAGTTTAATCTGACAGAGCGAGGATGAATGAAAGTGAGAAAGGATGAACCTGCACGTTGGCTGATGAGGCTGTAAATTGGAAGAGACCTCTTTTTGGACCAATGAAGTCCATTTCTGCAGGAAGCTGAAATCCATAAATATCTGTGACAGGCGAGCGTGCTGCTCCACTCATCTCCACGGGGATCGGTGGAATGATGCCAGACACCAGATGAAACTCGCTGTCACAATCACAACGTTACGCCAGAAAAAAACAGACTCGTATCGATCAAGCAGCCGGCAAAGCTCCTGACTCACTTTATTTTAGTCTGTCAGGAGCTTTCAGCATCAGACACTGACTTCAGAATGATCAAACAAAACTTTGAACTAAACCACGGTGTGATGAAACATGGCTGATGAAGAATTTGACAACCGGTTTATTTTTATAATCTCTGTTTGTGCAGCAGCTCATCACGTGGATGTTTCTTTTTCTTCAGCTCCAAACCACAGACACACTCGGGCTGACATGTTAAGAAGCTGTACAGTTAGGAAATATGGTCTTATAATCTTTTAATATTTAATTCAAGCTTTTATTTTAGATTTGTTTTGAATATTTATCACTTAAATTGACTCCTTGCGTCACGTTTTATGTCACCTTGCCTCATTTCTTCTTCTCCAACCTCACCTCATCACTTTTTTCACACCATACCTCATTGCACATCTCTAGATCTCATCTCATGTCACCTCCTCTCACTTTATCCTGCCTCATCTCACCTTGTCGTATCTCTTCTCACCCGTGACTGGAGTGACTACTATGGAGCCGCAGGGACAAATATTCCTGGTCTCCATCAACCCCCACTGTAGGTGTCAGTTTGAGGGACACAGTAACCAGCTGTGCTCCAGAGCTGAAACGATGAGCTGATTAATAGAAAATATTTCTAGGAGTTTTTCAAGCCTCTAAAACGGAGACGTTTGAAAACGCTGCTGATTCTGATTTTGGTTTGAGAAGTCAGAGGCTGCAGCTGCCAGCGCTGAACGGAAATGAAACCGTCGGTAACAGTTTCACCTCGCTGTCACTCTAACCAAAGAAACTCTTTGTCTTAGGTTGGCAGATTGGGTCATATCCCATATTACAATGCATGTAGATGCACTGTATGAATGATTGCATGGATCTGTGAATGGGAATTGTCAAGTGCTTTGAGAGGTCATCATGTCACATCATCTCATTTCCTCTTATGTCCTGTAATCTCATGTTGCCTAATTTTATTTTTCCTCATCTCAATCTCATTATAATCCACACTTTCATTCACCTCATTCCCTCCAAACTCGTCTCACTGCCGCTCTCGCTTCTCCTCTGCCCTAATACTTTCGACTTCCTTCCCTTCAGCCGGCCTCCTCTCATCTCACACCCCCTCATCTACATAATATCATCCCTCATCTCAGTCAGGCTTACTTTTAAATCGCTGAATAATTCTGCTGTTGAAGCCACACAGTTACGGTCATGTGACATTCGTGATGAGGAAACTAGTCACTCTGTGAGCATCCTGGTTGCTCTGAAAGTAGATGAAACCTCAAAATGGTCAGGAAATATAATGTGGTAGTTTTACCAGAGTCCTTCCAAAGACATTAGACAGAAGGAAAGAAGTCCAGATAAAGAGGAAGAGGAGGGGATCTCTCCATTCAGCCTGTCTGCAGAGAATAATCAGAGATGGAGTAAGAAGCCATTATTAAAACATTTAAAGACAGAAACGTGCCTGAGCGCATGTTGGTGCTGACTTACAGAGTCGTCCTCCATTAGAAATCCTGGCAGTGCAGAGTGTTGAAATTCAGAGCACGTTCCACTGCACATCTCCAAACTCCACCAACAGTCCACAGCAGCCATGTTTCTGCCCACTCAGCCGCGCAGAGGAACTCACAGATTCTGAGGTTTTACTGAAAAACACCAGATTACCCAGAAACATCAGGGACGAGTCTGATCGTTTTAACGTGACTTCATTCAGCCTCGTCTCTGTGCAGCTGCAAATAAACCCTGTTTAATGAAGTTAAAGATTCCTGCTTATTTTCCCTCATGAATTGATATGGCACAATAAGTAATCTGGAAATGCTGTTTTAATAAAAATCAATAATAAAAGAGATCCAAAGATGTAACCCTCCTGCTCAACCCCCAAATTAAGCATCAGATTAGACTGAGAACTCTTTTGGTTTTATATGAAGATTGAATGAAGGGTTGGAAATGAGTCACTGCTGGAAAACGACAGTCACAGCTCTGGAATCAGTATCTCATACATATCGTTTGGTCCTCAGCAAACTGTAAGAGATCTTTTAGAACTGGAACAGAAAACATCACGCATTTTTTTACAATTAACCAAATGAATCGTTTTGTTGTAGCCGTCTTGTGACTGATATTTAACGAAGCCTGAAGGCGAGGACGATGCTACACTTCAGAGCACAGTTTTATATATTCACACCTTCTTATCTTATTCCACTTTTATTGATTTTGTTTGATTATTGGTTTTCAGAATGAATAATTACTTCTATCTTGTGTGTTTATATATATATATATATTGTGTTTAATCGTCATTAGCTCTGTTTAAAGCAGCTGATTCAGGCCCGGGTGTCTCTGATTAGGTGGTGTTTTACTGACACGGAGCAGTTTGGCTCTGGTGGAGCAGCAGATTGTTTGTACAGCAGGGGTGAGTTCAGGCTGTCATGATTACAACAGACACACACCTATTGTCCCCAACATAGGGCGGGGACATAAGCTAGGGGCCACAGGTTTAACCTGAAGGGTTGCGAGATGATTAACTGGAATCGAGAGAAAACATTCCTCAGGTATCTTAGTTAAATCTATTTCTTCAGGCTTATCTCTAATATTTACTTTTTTATCCTGTAGATTATCATTTTTCATTTTTATTACAAATAAAATATTTTCGCTTTGGTTAAGTTGATTGTAAACTGAGACAAATGGAGTCAGTGACGAGGTCAGAAGTTAAAAATGTCGGGAAACCATGTCTATACACAACAAACACAGATTAGTGATACCCAGAAACTAGGTAACTACTTGTGGTTATTTATATATTTCAAATCAGATTGGAGGGCAGCAGGATGAAGTGGTTGGCTTCACAGAAAAAGGTTTCCAGTTTGAATCCCAGTTCGGCTGGGATCTCTCTGTGTGGAGTTTACATGTTCTCCTTGTGTGTGTGGGTTTTCTCCTGATACTCCAGCTTCACAGATACGCAGTTCAAAGTCATGCAGCTCTGGTTAATTGGAGACTCTGAATTGACCATATGTGTGAATGTTTTGTTTCTATATGTTGGCCCCCTAATACATCAGCAGATATGAGGTATTGATAATGGATTGTTCTTCCGATAAATTTGCACCTGAATTGAATTAGTTTGACCTCGTCCTTTTTTTCCAATCCAATCCCTGGACACAAAGCAGGAAATGATAAATACAAAAATGCTAAATTTTTCTGGGTGGGACAAATCTGTTTCGGGGATTCGCCAGATAAAACAGGATATGGAAAAAGCTTGTTCTCTCCCTGCAACAAAAGTAGGTCATTTTGCTAAACTACAGCTTGTATAATCACAAGTATTATCACTGTGGTGCATCTTCTGCCCTCTGTGATTGTAGGTGCACACCCATGTACCAAGCTCAACACACTGTCACTAAATAGTGAAGACAGGAAACAGGTTTTCAAACCTTTGCAAAGGAAGCATGTGTTGAATCAATAGTGACAACTAATTCAATAATAGTGATTACATATACAGAAACAGTGAGATTCATTAACACAAGGAAATTGAGTTCACAGAAGAACAGACAATCTTATAAAGTACCATCAGTCAATATCAGCATTAAACTCCTGAAGATTTATCGTAGCCAATTCCTTTGTTTGTTCCACTTCTTGTTTTAACTCTTGCTTTTGATGGTTATTGTTACAAGACATGTAAAAACCATGGACCTGCTCAGTTCACACAGCCTCATATATATTTGTCAAAACTGGAAACACATGTCCACATATTTTAGGAGGTTATAAGGTCAAAAACAAAACATTCATTTTAGATACTTGATTAAAAAAAGACAATCTTTGGTGCTGAGTTACATTCAATGAGCTGACAACCTACCAGAGGTGGCCAAAGTACTCACATCCTTTACTGAAGTAAAAGTACAGATACTTGTGTAAAAAAAGACTCTGGTAAACGTAGAAGTACTGATTCAACTAAAAAGTAAAAGTGTACAGGCTCTGAAATGTACAAAAGTAAAAATGAATTCTTAACTTCAGTGATACACGATGCCTCTTTTGATAACTCAGCAAAATGAAAAAAAGTTGTAGGCACACAAAATAGGATAATTTTACTCTTTTGTTAACAACCGGCACAGAGCAGAAAAACATCACTGGGCACAGTCTAGTTTTGCTGCCAAATTTCAGACAGAATAATAAAGACTGAGCTGAACCGAAGTCCTGCATGAGCACCTGGATCAACCTTTACAGGGAATAAATGGATGGGGCCTGGCAGGGCGCCGAGAACACTATCCAACTTGGATAGAGGAAGTAAAAGTCGAAAAAGGTTTCCGTAGGTGAAGTACAGCCGCTGGACCTCAGACAGCCATGGCAGCCCGACCAACCTCCGGGCGCTTAGGGTCTCGCGCTGCCCCCCTGACGGCACACACGCCGCCGGGGCAAGCGAGTGAGCGAGCGGTGCTCTGTGCGTAAAAGCATCAAAACAAGTAACGATCCAGTTTTGAGAATGTAAGGAGTAGAAAGTACAGATATTTGTGTTCAAATGTAGCGAGTAAAATGAAAAGGTGTCAGGAAAATAAACCCTCAAGTAAAGTACAGATACCTGAAAATTCTACTTAAGTATTTGTACTTTGTTTCTTCCCACCTCTGCCTATCAGTCTCAGCGGTTACTTTAGCTACTTCCTTCTTCTTGACAGGTCTTCTGCGTTGGTGTGAATATTAACGTGTTGTGTTTTTCTCTGTAGGTCTGTCTGGTAACCCCGTTGATCTGGAGAAACGTCACACGGCGTTTGGCAAAAATTTCATCCCCCCCAAGAAGGCCAAGACGTTTCTGCAGCTGGTGTGGGAGGCTCTGCAAGACGTCACGCTTATCATCCTGGAAATCGCTGCCATCATCTCACTGGGCCTGTCCTTCTACCATCCACCAGGGGGAGACAGTGAAGGTCAGTGCATTTAGGTTTCTCTTTAAACAAATTAAATCGCAGACGGGGCTGTCGATATCTTTTGCGGCACTAAAAAATCGCTCCTGTTCAACAGCATGCGGTCAGGTAGAAGGAGGCGTGGAGGACGAGGGCGAGGCCCAGGCTGGCTGGATCGAAGGTGCTGCTATCCTGTTCTCGGTCATCATTGTGGTGCTGGTGACGGCCTTCAACGATTGGTCCAAGGAGAAGCAGTTCCGTGGGCTGCAGAGTCGCATCGAGCAGGAACAGAAGTTCACTGTCATCCGCAAAGGCCAGGTCATCCAGATCCCCGTGGCTGAGCTTGTGGTGGGAGACATCGCTCAGATCAAATACGGTACGAGACCTCACATGTCAGACTGAACATCAGACATGTGACGTTAATAAAAGCCTCTATTCAATGAATTCGCCCCAAGATTCTTGTAGTTTCATTCACACTGCATGGCCACATGTTGTCAAAGAAATCCTTACATGCTGTCACATTAAGATTTACCCTCATTGGTACTGGGGCTGACAAACAGTACACAAAATAAATTATAATAAACAGCATATTCCAGTTGACCATATAATGTGAAGCTGACTGGAAATGAAAGTGATCCACTTTGCCTTCAAGGGTTGAAGGGACCCTCTGACCTCTAACCTCTGAACTTGCAGGTGACCTTCTGCCTGCTGATGGGATCCTGATCCAAGGAAATGACTTGAAGATTGACGAAAGCTCACTGACCGGAGAATCCGACCAGGTCCGCAAATCTATGGAGAAGGACCCCATGCTGCTGTCCGGTGAGTGATAGTTGCGTGAGGAAAAGTCAGTGATCAAACTTCATAACCACTAACTGACTTACTGACTTCAAAGCTTGTCGAAGTTGTTCAGATTTAAATATACAAAGGTTACTGGTTCAAACTTAAATAAACACACGAACAAACTTCTTACTTAACTTTGTGAATCTGACGTTAATCCTCATCACCAAAGGTAATATGCTGTAGATTGAAAATCCTTAAGGAACTCACAACACAACTCAAATACTGACGCAGGTATTTCTTAAGTATTTAATGAGAAAATCATAAATGATTTCACATTAATCTAAAATGAAAAGAAATGACCATAATGAAAAACCTAAAACTTGGTGTCAGTTGTGACTCGTAGCTCTTGAATCTCTCTTCAGGAACCCACGTGATGGAAGGATCAGGCAGGATGGTGGTGTCAGCCGTCGGCCTCAACTCTCAAACCGGCATCATCTTTACTCTCCTGGGAGCCAGTGAGCACGACGAAGAGAAGAAGGTCAAGAAAAGTAAGACATGAGGCGAAGCCTGTGATAACACCTCTGAAAAAAAACACACAACTAATGTTGAAGTGTCAAAGGTCACATGAGCAGAGTAACTGTGTGAAGTGTTTAGAGGGAAGTTTGACAAGAAAGACGACTATCACTGTGACGGTTTCTGAATATTTCTACTCTACTGTTTGAACGGTGCAGATTGGAGATGTTTGCACATTTTTATCAGTTGTTTTTGAAGCTTCTCTTGTCACACTCGCTGGCTCTGTCAGCAGGTAGACTTCATCCAGTCTGGGCTGACAACAGCAGAGCTGTTTGAAGGGTCTAACTGTAGCGTTTTCACTTTATTCAGCTTCAATCGGAACACCAGAGAAATGTTAGTGAATAAATGAGACCACGGGTGAAGTGACCTGTAGTGAGGTTGTTTCTGTGCTCTTATCTGCTGAACATCAGCTAAACACAACAGATGTGAGATTCAAACATGGCTGAAAAGGGATGTGAAACCTGCACCGGCAACGAGTTCACAAGTTTACTTCACTAACACAGCTTAGCAACCGTAACAAGGCCTGGCAGATCTGTCAGTGTTTGGGTTTCTTTAACGTAGACGCATTAGGAGATTGATTAGTTTGAGATAGATTCAATCATGAAAAGGTCAACTTGACTCGTGAGGTTGAGTATAGATAGATGGATAAATAGATAGATGGATAGATAGATAGATAGATAGATGGATAAATAGATAGATGGATAAATAGATAGATGGATAGATAGATGGATAGCTGATAGATATATAGATATGATGTTTCTCTTTATATACTGTCTGAAATAATTATTTAAAAAACTATCTATGAATGTTGATAGTAAATTTCCCTCCTTTAACTGAAGTGTTAGGCCACAGGTTCACACACAGACGAATGCTGCGGATCAAAGTTCACAGGTTACACTGCAGATTTGCTTCGCCAAGCAAACCTCCTCATTTGCACAAATTGAAAGCGAATGGGATACGAAGGTTCTGCCACTTTTTCCAATTTGTGTACTTGTCGATGAAGGCATCATATTTCACTCAGCCCACAGTTTGAACATTTTCCACGCAGACCTTGAACAAATGAATTGAACTACATCCTGGTCTCATTTATTTGTGGTAGTTTCTGGCCATTATCCTGAGTTTTTGATTTGACATGGATGTAATGTTGGTTAAAAATGTGAAACGTAACCTTCCCCCTGTTAACATAACAGCTGGTTTTAAAGTGGAACCCTTCAAAAGCCAAAGTGCAGACGATCCTCGTACTGTTACAGAGCAGTTTGATGTAAACCAACAGGCTTCTGCAGTCGGTCTCTATTGCTTTTGATTTGCTTGTGATCACGCTAACCCCCTTTTACTCATGTCTTTTTCTTTAGTTTGTTTTTTGTCTGATCATTTGTTTTATTTGCTAAAGTTTTGAGTTTGTCAGGCATTCATTGTGAACTGGCTGAATGTACCAGCTCAGTGGAGAGAGACGCTCAGGTTTACGTTTCGGCCTCCAGTCACAAAAATAAATCCTATTAGGAAGACCACAAGGCACAAAGTTTTCACACTCATCTGAAATCAATGTTGTATTTAGATTAGCATCTCCAACACTGTACTGTTACACTTCATTCCTCATTGACATAATACATTCCCTAGGCTCATTGTTGTAGCTTTATCTTTAGCTAATCTAAACCATAAATCAATTATCAAACCTGAAACATCTGAAGTAAGAACTGGACAAAATGGCTGCAAAATGCTCTCACTTTCCAACATTGTCTTCATTTTCCAAAACTGCCCTCATTTCCCCAAAAGGTTCCACACCCTCTGAATCTGAGACTTTAACAGGGTGTCACAAAATACAAGTACACAAACACACACACAGGCTCCGCTGTGTGTCTCTTGTGTGACAGCAGATTCTACAGTCACACATGGCTGCAGCAACTCGCCACTCACACACTCATGCATTCATTCATTTCCAGTCACACCCACTGGTTATCTTGCTGCACTCGGTATGTGCAAACACACACACACACACACACACACTTGCAGCAGTTCAGCCTCAGTCATCACTCACGACACACCAGCTGAATAATAAAGAGCTGTGTACAAGTGTGTGTGTGCTTGTGTGCATGTGTTGGATTTGACCTTGCCGATCCTCCTTACACAAATAAAATAGTGCACTTTAGAGCAACAGGAAGTTAATGTCCTCATGAAGAAAAACTTAATTAACCTGCGCGCGCGCACAAACACACACACACACACACACACACACACACACACACACACACACACACACACACACACAAACTCTCTCAGTCACCTGTTTGATCAACAAGGTTAAATAAAAGCATAACCTCAACAAATTCAACGTCTTCTGTCTTCATAAGAAAACCAGTAGGGAGACGACAGGAAATGAAATGATCGAGAGATGTGGAACAGCCTTTAATGAAAGTTCAGTGTCAGGGAAGAATCAACAATGACACAACAAGTGAAATCAAAAACAAACAGAAACATGAGGTAATAATTAACAGCACAGCCTGACCGATGAGTACTTTTGGAGGTCAATACCGATGTTAGGGAGTAAAAAAGGTCCGCTATTGATATATTGGCCAATTTAAAAAATGTCATCAAACCCTTTTGACAAAGAGTTTTGTAGAATTAAAGCTTGATATCTTACAGGTTAACCATATACTTTTATTATAAGTAACTAGATTAAAACACAAAAAGAACCAAAGATATAGAACTGGAAATAAGAGAATAAAAATTACTTAAACTGCAAGGATAAATGCACAGCTTTTTGCATTTTGTAAAATAAAACATTTTCATTTCACCAAACATAAAAGCAGATACTGATGTGTCTTTGAAAGGCTCATATCAGCTGATTATTAATTATAATTGGGCTCTAATTGATATCATTATACACATTGTTGTTTATATATACATACATATCATTGTAACATTCTATTGATATGAGTGATATACTGATCAATTGATTAGTTGATTAGCCGTCAAAAATGGCGGCCTTGGTTCTCCACAGCAGGGAGTCATGTGTCTCTCTCCTCTGATTGGTCCATTCCTGCCCACAACACACACACGACACACACACACACACACCTGTGGGTTTCTATCAGTTTGAATCTTTGTGTTTTCCCTCAGTTTGATTTGATCTTATTTTTCCTTTGAACCATCTTATCAGCATTCCGCCCTCTCTCTCTGTCCGAACAGGTAAAAAACAAGGACCCCCCGAAAATCGCAACAAAGGTAACCCCTCCATTCATCCATCTGTCCCTCTCTGTCCCTCCATCCTCCCTGTTACTCACCCTCCACCCAGCGGCAGGAGGGGGGTGTCTCGTCCATCTCTTTCTCTCTCTCTCTCTGCTGTAAAAAGGGGGACGTTCTCTCGCCTTGCTTTACCTGTCGAAGGGTGCAACTCTCAACCGTCAAGTCTTTGACAGCCAATCACATCGTCCGCAGTCGTCATGGGTGACTGGACTTATATTTCTGACTCTGTTCTAAACGCAGGATGAGACAATTTGAACATAGATGTTTTGTTTTTGTAAGAACATAAATTACATTATATAGGGAATGATCAATGATAACTAAGGAATTATTTGCTTTTGAGAACAAACACATATGTTGTGTTTGTCATTAATCACATTAATGTGTAATTACCTCCCTCACTCTGTTTTACTCATTAGCTCTCTAAGCTAATTAGCTGTCCTGATGGTGCCAAGCATGCAACCTATGTTGTTTTTATCATAAGGACGTTTATCTTTATTTTCTGTTTTATAGAGTTAATATTTATTCATTAATCACAGATTAATTGAATCATAAATGAATAATTAAAACTGTCATTGGTGAGCGAGGTAGCTACAGTATGTTTAAACACACTTGTGCTGTTGAGTTTAATTATGTAGAGATGCAGTTTTACTCTTTTGAAGGGAACTACATCTGACTGGAACACTTTGGCAGTGTCACTACTAATGATCAAGCTAGATACGTAGTTTCATTAGTTGCTTGTTATCTGGATTAGTTTGGCCAGTCATGATCCAACACAACCAGATTTTTGGCTAATAAAATAGACATTTAGTTCCAAACACAATTTCATGAATTAAACAAACTCGCTTTGGAACCAGAACTGAAGAGTGTGCAGACGAGACGAGACGTTAACGTGAGCTGATGAGTGAAACTGAGTGTTTGAGGGGTTTTAATATCTGCCAATGTGGATAATAACAAACAAGCAAATGTATTTACTGAACACTAAATGTGTTTTTTTCTGCTATTATTTATTGTGTTAATAGTTTCTCTACAAAAAGTAACGTGTTTGTTGTTTGTTCTCTGTCCTCAAAATGTCCGATTTCACAGTGAGAACTGAGACATGAATACAAGTCCATCAGTGCTGGGCCACTTTACGCACTGGTCTGACCTCTGAGGTGTCCCTGTGTTGACATCAAGTGCCCATTTTAGTGCCTTGAAATATTTAACATCTAATGGATTTGTGTGTATGTGTGTGTGTGTGTGCATTGATGATATCATTGCTCCAACCTCCAAACTCAACCAGTCAACCTTCCAAATGTCCCATGTGATCCAACACATGTCCAGCGTCCTCTTCCAAGCTGTCTCAAGTCAACACACACACATGCACTCATGCGCACACACACACACACACACACACACACACACACAGAGCTCCCCTCCTCCCGACCTCCCATGGTTTGAGCATCTGCTGCAGGCAGAATGCTTCTTGATGTACACAGAAACACACACACACACTCACACACTCGATGTTCTTGGACGGTCATCACAGTTTTGCACACAGAAATAATGAACAGACGGAGCTGCAGTCACAGATGACCTCCACTAAAAACACATCACGAACTTAACACCTTCGGTCACGTCCTCAACAACTCAGCAGCTCCACTGGGATTTTTAGCCTCTTTTAGCTCGTAGCTATGTTTTTTTGACAGATCACCTGTTTGCAGCTGTTTCCACACGAGCTGAATGTGGAAAAAGGACATTTTTTTTAACCTTGTTAGAGCTGTTGGAAGAGTTATTTGGCGCCCTAGTGATCAAAAATCAAGTTACACACCTTTAAAGTCCCATCGTTGACATTAAACATACTTCAAGGTGTTTCTGTTGCCTTCAAAACTTTTATTTTATTGTTTTTCTCATCACAATAAGCTGCTAAATGTAACATTTCCTACAGATGTTTCATTATGAAACTATAATAAAAGGAAGAATCAGGGTTGTGCACATAGACAGAACAACATGACAGCTCCCCAAAAGTGAAGCCAAAGTGTCTCGATTGCCCCCTGGTGGCTGGCTGCAAGATGGCTTCTGTCCTTTTAGTTAGATCTTATCACATTAATGTGTGTTAAAGTGTTCATGTTTGTGGTAAGTTTGGATTTAATAACCTATTTGATATAAAAACGGGCTGAGACATCATGAGTGACAGCTGAGACGACTCGTGATTGGTCGAATGCGTGTCATCGGGACTTTGCTTTGTCTCCACTCCACTGCTACTGCGCAGACGATGGCTCGATGAGAAAAAGTGCAAGATGGAGGCGTCCGCATTAGAGATATCTTGGCTTTAAGTTTTGTACAACTGGAGTCAGTGGAGACGTGTTGTTCTATTATCAGCTAAATTAAATGGGAGCAGAGTAGAAACGAGGTCATGTGACACTCTGCTCCTCTCACTTCTTTTCGACATTGACACTTTTCATTCACAGATAAATCCTCTTACTTTTACTTCACTTGGTTTTGTTTGATCAGCGTTAACAACTAAAGACTTCCTGCAGACGTCACAATAAAAACACATTTGTTCATTTTAAGTCATTTTATTCGGGAGTTCTGTAGAGGATTATAATTTGCCACATGATTCGTTTTTCCCACCACACGGTTCAATACATTTATTATCTTCTAATGACTGTGACTTTCTGTTGACACCACTGAGAAAAACAAACGGATCCCAGCAGTGCCGTGATGTTTTTGGCTGTTTTCGAGGCTCTGAGTGTGTGTGGGAGTTGCACCCTTGCAGTATTAGTGGGCTGTGGGCTGTCGTCTGTTCTGTTTATGTATCCTCAGTTTCTTTTATTTATTTCTCTTTTTTGTTTGGCCTTTGATTCCTCTCATTTCTCTCACTGTTGCCTCTTTGCAGGGTGTTGCTCAGGACTTCATGTTGTCTTGTAATCACTGTTTGACTCTCTCCCTCCTCTCTGTTCTTCTCCTGTCTTGCTGAAGTCTCCTGCAGCCTCCACAGCTCTGCAGCCTCCACTACCTCCTCTTGTCTTTCTCTGTTGTGGTTCTGCATCGCTGTCGTTTTTCTTTTCTTTTTTGAGGTGATCCTTTGAGTTTGTCTTCTATTCGTTGACTTGCTTTCTTTTTTTTGGATTGTCAGACACCCTCTACCCTCTGCCCGCCATGCGTTCTCCCATGGTTCAGTGCTGCGCCTGTTTACAGTTCTGTGGTTGGTCAGTGGGTCTCAGTCCTGTTCATGTAAAGCTGTGTCAGTTAGTTCTATGTTGTGGCTTGTCTTCAGACTAGACCATGTGCATAAAGCTCCACAGCTTCCTGGTTTGACACCGACTCATCCCCACATTCGGAATGTCTCAATGCCACGTTGAGGTCGTAATGTTCAGAAATTAATTTGGGGAGCGTATTTTCATTCTGATGACACAGAGGGAGTTCAAAAAACACATTGCTACAAGTGAACAGATAAACTCTCTGATTTTGTGCCATCGTGAAGGTCCCCAAGCTCAATGTGGATGTTTTCTACAAAATATCAACAATGAGCCGGGAGTCTCTTTTTTTTTTACAGACACTGAGCCTCGTGCAAGAATGTTTTCATTTCATTTTCTCAGATCTTATTCTCAGATCTTATTCCATCAACTTTGCTTGTACAAGTTTACAGATTTGTGGTAAACTGCTCCTGGAAGCTGATTAATGTCACTGTCTATTAGCAGGCACGTTACTCTTTATTGCCTTCTCATTCTGTTGCATCTGTGGAGATTTGTTTCCACAAAAATGTGTCCCAAGAGTAAATAACTTAATACTGCAAAAATCAGCTGAGAAAACAAAAATACAAGTTTAGCCGTAGTGTGAACGCTAAAACGAGAATTTTTTTTACTGTAGACGTTAACATGACATCACCGAGCCAAGTGAAGCACAAAGGGTTTGACGTGAAGTTCAACAGTCTTGCTCAAATGACTAATATGGGAGGTGGTGAAGTCGACATGAAGTCACAGAGAATGAACAAGATCATTCCATTACATAACCACGATGTCACACACAATGACAGGAAGTGACACAAAGACGCAGAGTGGGAACTGTTTTAAGTTGCATCGTCAAAATCCCTGAAACGTCTTTAAATGTGTTATGATCCTTGTTCTAATACTTACATATGTTTACCCCCTACCTCCCCTGTAAATAGACTGTAAAAGGTCCATACTGATTTACTTCTCAATGCAATCAAGAAAGAAGCTCCAGTATGATTAGAACAACTAGATCTAATTGCAAAGCATTGGCTTTATTACAATAGTCTCAATTAAAACAGGAACACGTTTCCATTCCTCCATCAGCAAATTTAAACACCAATAAAACAGTTTAAACATTTTCAGTAGCATAGAAAATTGTTTCACATTTACAATGTAAAATACAGAAGTATCTTCCACATTTGTGAAAAAATATATATATATATTTACTCATAAAATAATAATCTTTTTAAACTAAATGATAAAAGCAGTTAATAAGAGTTTAAAAGTCCAGCAATCATCAAACAAAGAAAAAATATATAAATAATCAAATAAAATATAGTTAACAAGAATGCTTTTGTAAAATAGATGTTGAAAAATAACTTTTACCACCATAACTTTCATTGCATCCACTCCATCAGCCTGTATTATGTTTTTCTTGCAGACTACATGTTATGAGTGTTTTTCCCCTGTGGAGAGAGACAAACTATCTTTACAGGATTAGTCGTCATGTTAAACTAAATCAGTGAGTGGATCAAGCTCCTTTAAATCGCTTCTGTTTGTACAACTGCTTCTTACACGAGGCTCGATCAGTGTTGTTTTGATAGATTTGAACTTTCAGCTGCAGAGACGTCCCAGAAGAGGACTGAAAAAAATACACTGCTCTACCCTCCCAAACACTTCAGATTACAACCCTCAGTTTTATTAATATTGACTTGTTTTGCTTTTGGACGCCTCCAGTGAAAGTTTCTCCAGCGGAAAACCGGACTAGATTTGATCGAATCAGTCGTCTTCACTGACCCAGAAGGCTTCATTATCTGACACCTAGTGGATCATAGAAACAGGAAAAAAGGAACACGTTTTCCCCACATACATATTCCCCCATTGATTTTTAACTTCATTTGAATGTTATTAAATTGCCTGGTTAGATTTTGGAGAACCGGGGCACCCTTTATTACTGGTCATCCAGGAATCTTAACCTGCTTTATGTCCATGATCTGTTGGTATTGTTGGTTCCAGAAGTGATGTTGATCTTGTTACCAGCACAGTTAGCTGATAGATGGCGTTTGAGTATTTGTGTTTATCCGTATATTTAATGGCCCAATCATACATTTCCAATATTAAATAATCATTTAACAATGAAATTACGGGATTAGAAGACCTAAAAAAGATCCCTGTTTCATTCAGCGTTGTCAGCTCAGTTGTTCACGAGCGTCAAAACTAAGTGTTTCAGAATAAGTGTAGATCGGTTCTGTTTCTATTCATCACCTGCTTACGTTTCTTTTTGAATGCAAATATGACAAACAGCGCTGCATGGGCGTAGTGCAGCTGAATACAGTGTAAGCTCTTCAGCAGATATCAAACAGAACAAAAACGCTGTGTGTACAGTGCTACAGTCCAAACAGGATCACAGCTGATGAAGTGAAATGTAAATGCACTGTTTGTTTATGCAAATGAGGAGCGGAGCTGCCGAGCAGGACGTGAAAGCAGACGCCATGTCAGACTTCAGAGCGCAGCCTCGGCCCAAACGCTGAGCTCTGATGAGAAAGTGTGTGTGTGTGTGTGTGTGACTGACAGCCCCCTGTTAAATCCTCTCTGTTGTATCTGCTGTCCTCTGTTCTGTCTGCTGCTCTTCATTATGACCTGCTGCTCCCAACTTGTCTGTGACACTCTGAAAGCTACCTGGACCTTCCTCATGAATGTTCTGTGATCATAAAAATGACAACATGCTACCTACTCTCTGCATTCAGCCAAAGGGTCACCATGTTAATGAGAAAGAGTCAGGGGTCTCCTCTGATCTCTGAGAGAACTCGTCCGGTCGATTTCGACCTTCCGTCAGACTGAATCCATAACGTTTTTCTGCCTCTCTACCCTTTATCCCCACACCACTCCTGAACCCTCCCCCCTTCTTATTTTTGTTTTACAATTTATTATTTTATTGATTTAATTCATTCACCTGTCAACCCGTCCTGCCTCTCCTCATGCTCTCCATCTCTCTCCTCCATCTTCATACCTAAAAAATACAACCCATTCTCTTCATCCCATCCATCACTCTGTCCCATAACTCCCTCTCTCATCTCTCTCTTTAACCAACCTTTCCCCTCCCTCATTTACCTCTTAAAACCTGCTCCCTCCTCCTCCTCTTTTGACCCCTCAACCACTACCTTATCCCCTCCACACCCCTCCTCCTCCTTCAGCCAAGACGCAGGATGGCATCGCCCTTGAGATCCAGCCACTGAAGAGCGAGGAGGCCGCCGAGTTGGAGGAGAAGGAGGAGGCCAAACCAGTGAAGAAGGTCAACGTGACCAAGAAGGAGAAGTCGGTGCTGCAGGGCAAATTGACCAAACTGGCTGTACAGATCGGGAAGGCTGGTGAGGAGCACACGCACACAGATGCATGCACCCATGCACGCATGCACATGCACATGCAGGGTACTGACATAAAGTATAAAAATGTTTCACATGGATTCTGTGTCCGACACAACACAACAACTTCAAAGTCAAAGTTTTTCACAGAGACATTGAATTTACTGTAAATACATCAAAGGTTAAATAAGTTTGTTGGAGAATATTTAAGTATGACAAAATTTTATATGTTCCTCCCTGACTCATATCACTTCCTCCCACCAAGTTTCTCGGAATTGTGTTAAAACGTTTTTGTGTAATCCTGCTACAAACAAACCAACCAATGGACAGGGGTTAAAACATAATAACATGAGACACATGGTCTTTCTCAACAAGATGAACTTTGAACTAGTTCTAAAGACTCAAACCTGATAAACAATAACTGCAAAATATCGATAAGATAAAAACAACTATCATCAAATAAAAAATCTGAGCCTGATCAGTGTGAAATCTAGAAATGAGGCTGGATCATGATCTTGCAGAGTCAGTGGACACGCCCTCATTGATCTGCTGTATACTGAGCATTTGTCCCCTTGATGACGTGACATACTGTTGGATAATCACACTCACAACAGCCTCTGATTGTTACATCTGTTTCGTGGCTTGTTGAGCCAGTTTACGTGCTATTTCCAGAAATGTGGGCCTGTTCCTTTAAAAGCACACAGAGTGCTCAGGAGAGGCTGAGGGTCAGAACGCACTCACTTTTATTGGATGGATGTTTTATTGGTTCATCCCGGAATTGAAGGTATTTTCTGTGTCGTTTCAATTGACCTTAATACACTGAGGGGCTTTCTGGACAGAGTGGGGGGGGACCAGTCATGGACTAGCTTCAGTAATAAACTTCCCCTCATTACGGGACAGAAATAGAATTTGGGCTAAAACACTTTGAGGTAGTCAGTGACAGGAGAGATGACGCACAGAAGCACAAGCTCTGCAATTTCTCTTTCTCACCTGTTTGAGATTCCCTTCAGGATGTTGTCTGACTTCAAGACATTTATTTTCCTTGATGTTGCAAACGTCCTCGTCACTTTGCTGAAATATAATAAAATAACACTAAACTAGCTGTAATTTAACCAATGATTTCAGTAAGTTTCATAAGACACACTCTAATGTTGAATTCACAAATCAATCAAGTCAAATGTTAAAGGATAAATTCTGTCAAGAGCAACTATTTAATAACTGATGATAGCGACTGGCAGAAAAGAAGATTACGTAGAACAAATAAAAGATTTAATAAATGGTATGTGTCTTAGACACAGAGACATAATTAATTTCAACACATAATATAAAAATAACTTGTACTTGTGTTTTGCTGTCCTTATATCTGAACTCAGTTTTCCATCACAAATGCTCGTTTTGTTTCAGCGAACTGATGTTTACTGGATATCCAATTGTACTTGAATGCACCACAAGAACTTAACCTCATAGACGTATAATCTGTGACTTGATTTGAACATGAGCTCGTCATAAAACTTGCTCTTCTTATTCACCCAGGTCTGATCATGTCGGCTGTGACTGTCATCATCCTCATCCTCTACTTTGTGATCCACACCTTCGGGATCCAGGGTCGCACCTGGCTGCGTGAGTGCACCCCCATCTACATCCAGTACTTTGTCAAGTTCTTCATTATTGGTGTGACGGTGCTGGTGGTGGCCGTCCCCGAGGGGCTGCCTCTTGCTGTCACCATCTCTCTGGCCTACTCTGTTAAGGTAAGCAAGATGGGAAGTGAAGGGCATTGTGGGACATTTTTAACTTGTAGAGTCTTAAAAACGGCACCTATCAAACTTGTCATTAACTCTGAGACCTGTTCATGGAGCTTTCAAACTTTGCTCTCCATCTTTTAGAAAATGATGAAGGACAACAACCTGGTGCGTCACTTGGATGCCTGCGAAACCATGGGCAACGCCACGGCCATCTGTTCAGACAAGACGGGCACGCTGACCATGAACCGGATGACAGTGGTGCAGGCGTACATCGGTGACACACACTACAAAACTGTCCCTGAACCAGACGCGATCAAACCAGAGACTCTGGAAGTTTTGGTCAACAGCATCTCCATCAACTCCGCGTACACAACCAAGATCCTGGTGAGAGCTTCACCGTCAGAGCTGCATCCAACCACGACACCATCCCTAACACACACACATTATTATGTTATATTAAAGCTCTTTATTGGAAACTGTGTCCCACTTTTCAATGCACTAAGGAAATTGAGGAGTTGCTATCAGCCAGAAAATATAAAAATTACTTGGTGGTGAGACGGTTCCGTGGAGACTTTGTAAAAGTATTAAATCTAAAGAAAATATGGATTTTATTATTATTTTCAAACCACATATTTAACAAGACTTTGAGGATGAGGAGTAACAGATGATGAAACTTAACCAGTGCATGTGCAGCACTAATCTTGATGTCCTCCCCCAATTTCTTGTGGAATGAAAACAACATCGATCAACAGCTGAAGTTATTATATTTTTGGGTTGACCGTCTGTCCATCCGATTACTGAGTGAACACAATATCTCAAGAACAACTTGAGGGAATTTCTTCAAATGTGGTACAAACGATCAGATGGGAATGAACAGATCAGATTTTAGTGCACAAAGGTCAAGGTCACTGTGACCTTACAAAACATGGTTTTGGTCTTTTGGACGCTACATTTCAAGAACTCCTCCAGGAAATCCTTTCAAATTCTGCAAAAATCTTCTCTTCACAAAACATGTTTTTGGCTCCCTCAAATTATTTTGACTCAAAGAGAAACTCATATGAGTCAGCACTGGTTGGTGGAGGAATACACCTGCACAGTGAAAACATATTAGAAACAAGTAAATAACAACAGGACAAATGATCAAAGAAGAATATTAATGAATAACAGCATAAAGTAGCAAAGCAGTAACTGCAGAGCAGTTATTCATGTATGTGATGATATGATGAGCAGTTTAGATTAAGATGAACGTTTATCACATCAAACCCTGTGACCTCCTCTCAGCCTCCAGAGAAAGAAGGCGGCCTGCCGCGCCATGTGGGCAACAAGACCGAGTGTTCTCTGCTGGGCCTGGTGCTGGAACTGAAGAGGGACTACCAGCCAATCAGAGAGGAGATCCCAGAAGAGAAGCTCTACAAGGTTTACACCTTCAACTCCTCCCGTAAGTCCATGAGCACGGTGCTGAAGAACGCCGATGGAGGCTTCCGCATGTACAGCAAAGGAGCGTCAGAGATCGTCCTGAGGAAGTAAGACATGAGATCAAATGATAGCTGGATGGATAAAGTAATGGATGGAGCATTACTTACTTGTTTATTAACGTTTCCCATATAATCTTCCTCCACCTCCTCCGTCTCTCTCTTCTCTCCTCTCATAGATGCTCTCGTATCTTGGACACCCAGGGGCAGCCTCGCATCTTCAAGCCCAAGGACCGCGACGAGATGGTGCGTAAGGTGATCGAGCCGATGGCGTGTGACGGGCTTAGGACCATCTGCGTTGCCTACAGAGACTTTCCAGCCGAGGCTGGAGAGCCAGACTGGGACATTGAGAACGACATCCTGAATGAGCTCACCTGCATCGCCGTGGTCGGCATCGAGGATCCCGTCAGACCTGAGGTACAGTTAAAACCACTCGTACATATCCTGAACCTGAAACACTTCCGATGCTCGAGCCCTGGTGTTACTGATCAGAAGACTTTGATCATTGGACAGTGTTGATAGAAACTATATTTTAAGATACATTAACATCATTTCTACTGTTTGAAGAAGACACTACAGAGCTGTCGACACCTGCAGACTGTCAGTCATCACAAACTGATGCTGCTTCAACGACGATTCAGAGAAAGACGTCTTAAGTGTTTGTAGACTGCAGCTGTTTTCACTGATGCTAAAATTAGTTTCACTCACTTTGAAATAGCTGCACGCACTGCTGGAATTCAGCAGAGTCAGTGAAGTTCAGTTTATTCCTGAAATATCATGAAAGAACAAAGAGTGAAAAGAGATCAGGAAATGTTACACATGAAGAATGTAACCGAACTGATCTGACAGGCTGCTTACGATCATAACATTTGTGCTGTAACGAAACATAATCCAACCATCAGTCGTGTATAACAGTGTGGAGATAAGCGAACACCTTTCTCCTAACACAAGACCTGAAGTGAGTCCTGCTCAGGTGCGTCAGAATCGGACGCTTTTGATGTGTTAAATGAGGCCTGTAATGAAGCACAGAAAGCTTTGGTGCTGCTGCCTGCTGCTTTAATGTCAGAGCACGAAGATCACAGACTGGATGGAAATAACTGGAGAGCAGCAGGAGACGGTCGGCAGCTCATCATTTGTCTCCACACAACCTGTGATAGACACAAGAATATTTCAGATTTTAGCTCAGAATTATTCTGTTCAGGAACGTGAAACATTTGTTGCCGTGACGTGTAGTCTGACCATCGACCAACACAGAGCTGAACCACTTTCAAACACTTTCCATTCACCACTGAAGCTGATCAGACTTTTGGGTCCAGATAATTGGGTCTGGACATTTTCACAAATGAAGAATGCAGCAGAATATTGTCCAGTTCACAACAGCAGGAAAATGTCCAGAGCTTTCAGGCGAGGGTCACACTGGAATCTCTCTCATCTTCCACGTGCATGGCTCCTCTTTTCTTCCTGAGATGCTTAGACAGGCAGGAAACACTCTGAAGAATGTCCAGAGCAACTGACTCTGACATTTGTTTGTTTTTTTATAGCCCCTCCGGATAGTTTCGGGGGAATGTCTGGAGTTCAGTGCCTGTCTGAAAGCAGCATTCAAGGGCAGAGCATACTCGCAGAAAAACTGGATACTCAGTTCAAATATTCAGTAAATCACATAAGAAAATCACAACTAGTCAGTGACTCTGGCAGCTTTGCATTCTCCCTCTTGTCCTCTTTTCTTTACAGTTATAACAACGGCAGATACACAGTCAGAATTTATTGTGCTCTTTAAACAATGGCCCTTTCATTTCAGACATGAGTCAACAATAAAAGCTTCTCATTTTTAGTCAGGAACCATCAATTGCTTCAGAAGGAACTGCTGTCACTGGAGGATTTGATCAGTTGCAGCTAAATGGCACTTTAACGTTCGGCGAAGCTGAAAACTCTATGTGGACTAATTCTTCAAATGACAAACTTGCATAAGGTTTTCATTATGTACATCAGATGTTATCATGCTACATTTAACATGGCCCAATTATAAATGGAGAGTATGAGGACGTTAAAATTAAAGAGCAACATTCGTCATGTATTGCAGGGAAGAGCTAGTTAGCGTTAGTATTGTAGCGCCTTGTTAAAATTAAACGTTCTTTCATGCGAACACGACCCCTTTGAATCTTTAACGACCACAAGCCCTTTGAATCCTTAACGATGTGAGAAGACTTATTATTTAAACTAACATAGTTCTGTGTTATGACTCTTTCTCTAAGGTACTGAATAACGAGACTACTACTAAAGGTTGTGTGGTAGTTATCGGGACATGTTGCCTCCTCCATGTAAGTGGATTGGACATGGACCAAGCTAAAAAGTCAGAATACACGTTAGACAAATTTTGCGGCATCAGTATATGTGATGTTTTTGCTTCATTTTTGGATATTGGAAGAATGTGAAGAAGCTTCATCCATCTTTATATAGAGTTTATGCTACCTGCAGTTAAAAAGATTAGATAAATGCTGTTTGATGCTCTGAAACTCCTACAATCAGGCCCCTTCACCCCCTCTGCTCATATCAAGGCTCTTGTGTGCATGAATCAGAGGTATGATGTGTGTGTGTACATATTTGCAAGCAAACACACAGGAGCTCTGTGATCAGCTGAAAGCTCCTGATGAGCAGCGGAAGCATCCAACTGCTTTCTGATTTCCAGCTGACCAACACATCACCATGGACTCCTCTGAGACCTCTGTCTGTCCCTGTTTATTCACTCACTCATCTCTGACAGATTGAACTGTGGGTTCTCTGGTAGAAGCTGCTGTTGTTGTTTATTTAACATGACTTCTACAAAATAAACTAAAAAAGGTGTTGGCAGAACGTGTTTCACTTGGATTGAAGATGAGGGAGCTTCCTATGTTTATTTTTCAGGTTTCCAGTCACTGAAATGTACAAATCTATCTTTTCTGTCACTCCTCCAGGTACCTGAGGCCATTTCTAAGTGTCAGCGTGCAGGCATCACTGTGCGCATGGTTACCGGAGATAACATCAACACCGCACGTGCTATTGCAACCAAGTGTGGCATCCTGCTGCCTGGGGAGGATTTCTTGTGTATGGAGGGCAAGGAGTTCAACCAGCAGATCAGAAATGACCAAGGAGAGGTGAGACCAGGACAGAAATGTTTGACTGCAGGTTGTTGTGGCCTAATATTAGTGTTGTTATGTTACTGTCTTGACTACGCCCCCATAATACAGCAGGGGAAATACTGCACCTCTCACACCAAGTTTTTGTTGATCATTTTTAAAAACTACCCTCTGAGGTAGTGCTCAAAGTTTCTCTACAAACGCAGGAATTATTATATTACATATTATATTTTGTAACCCTTAATGTTCTATCTGGGAAAAAAACCTGATAAAACTATTGTTCATGCTTTGCTTTTTTAGGTGGAACAAGAGCGTCTGGACAAAGTTTGGCCCAAACTGCGCGTCTTGGCTCGTTCTTCCCCGACAGACAAACACACTCTGGTTAAAGGTGGGTTCATTCTGGCAGGGATATAGAGCAGGATGTATAATTTATTATTTATTATGGTGGGGGGGTGTTTCCTCGAATATTCATACACACATTGAGATGGAGAATTGTTTCCTTGTTCCGTTCTGTTGATCAGGAATCATCGACAGCACGGTGGGTGAAACCCGACAGGTGGTGGCAGTGACGGGAGACGGCACCAACGACGGCCCCGCCCTCAAGAAAGCAGATGTTGGCTTTGCCATGGTAACCACTTCTTAATTTCTTTCACCTCTTTTTTCCTGCCGTCTTTCTGTGACAGCTCTTCACTCATTCACTCATCTACTGTTTCAGTTTGCTCTGCATCATTAACATAAAGAAAAAAAATCCTTTAAGTTAATTACATTTCTAATTCAGCCATGAAATAAGTATTTTCTCTAAACGTCATCCACAATAACGATTGAGCTTAATGTCATAGATTCATTAAGAAAGCTGTGAAATGGAATAGTTAATATAAATGTCGAGCATGGACGACTCGGCTCCTCCACAGAGGATCCTTCTCCTCTGCCATGTTCAGTCCCTTTATTCTCTAAACACCAACACAAAGAGAGGGAGAATAAATGTTGTCTTTTTATTTTTCTCTTATTGCCGTATTTTATTACAGTAAATAATGTATCATATAATTAAATGAAAATATATTGAATATTTAAGCTGTGAAAAATAATATGGCGCCAGTGGCTCCAAGAAAATAAGACAAAAATACATCATAATATCTAAAATTGTACTGTTTGCAAAGGAAAATATCTCTTTTTCTGTTTTTCATATATACTGTAGTTAAAGCTCAACTTGCATATATAAGCCCCCTTTATAACCATTGTGACTGTCGCTCTTTATTGTCTTTTCAACTGCTCATTCAGACTGTGAAGTTTATATATTTATATCCAGAACAAAAGAGCACACTGAGCTGAAAATAGTCAAATCAGTGCAGTTTACATCTCAAGCAGATGAACTGAAAAGAAAATATTTTTACATTCCTTCTTTAAGTGTCCTAGATTAATATCTTCCTGAGCTGGCGTATAAAGTCTTTACAGTGTGACTGCTGATGGAAGATGTTTGACATGTGGCAACAAACAAATGTTAAATGCAGCTGTGAACCAACAGTAAATTAATCTCCTGTTAAATGATGCAAAGAAACTGATTTCAGTTGTTTGTTATCAGTGAATTTTAATGAATCGAAAAGATTCATAATGATACGTTTGTGTGAGTTCAACACAAAGACCTGCACAGAACAATGAGCAGCTGAAAACACTGTGGATACTCATCAAGGAGAAGTGAGCGTAGAGGAGCTCAGTAACATCAGCTGAGCTCGGTGTGTTGTTGTTATTTACTGAGCTCCAGTGTCTCCTGCAGGCTGATCAGCGGCCGCTGTGCTGTTAAACAGCTCCCCGGCAGTCGTTACTGTTCTTAAACACATCACAAGGACACTCGGGGGACTTCAACCAGTGACCTTCCAGTCCTAATGTGTCCCATGTGGAATATTTTCAGTTAGCACAGTGTGTCCCTGTTCAATTATCACCTGTTCAGCTGGAGAACAGAGAGCGATCAACCTCCGTCTGTTTGTGAAGAGTACGACTCTGCGGAGAGAAACTCGCATCACAGCGTCTTCATGGTTACTGTAAACATGAGACTAATTCTCCTGCTTTACTTTTACCTCAGTGTCAGTGGACTGGGTTAAACTTGTTCTCAGTTAAAGCCACGTACACTTTAGCTGCGTGTTCCCCTGAAGAGCAAGAGATTTCTGATAGTAACAAGTAAATCACATTTTTTATATGTGGTAGTGATTCCTAAAATGTTGTTATCAAACCTTTATGACAAAGAAATACAGCTGAGGCTTCATATTTTATACTATAACTATACACAAAACTATAATTAAAAAGAAAACAATAATACAACCAAATGTACCAAATCAACCAACAGACATCCTTCTCCTCTTCCTTGTAAATGTCAGACTGCTCTGGAGATCCAGTAAAACAATGGTGCTGAATCTGATTACCTGAAAACAGCAGCTCTCTCCTGCATGCAACAGGAAACAGTCACATTGAACTTTCTTTTCGTCATGTGTCACAGCCGTTGGTCTTTTTAACTTCAGATGTCTGTGAGCATTGAAGGGAAGCATTAACATCTTCTCATGACCTAACATCCAAGAGTTCAGCTCTTTCAGACAAACCCTGTCTCTTAACCAGTTCAGACTTCAGTGCATTGTTCAATAAACTAGCTCCAGCTGCGGAAGGGTTATTTTGAGTTTTCATCTAAAGTCATAAACTGGGATTTGACGAGTCGCTCTGCTTCTTATCAGGGAATCGCTGGCACAGACGTGGCGAAGGAGGCGTCTGACATCATCCTGACCGACGACAACTTCACTAGCATCGTCAAGGCCGTCATGTGGGGGAGGAACGTCTACGACAGCATCTCAAAGTTCCTGCAGTTCCAGCTGACCGTCAACGTGGTGGCTGTGATCGTGGCGTTCACTGGTGCCTGCATCACACAGGTAGGCTGGTTATTTCTTTAGAATTTATTATCCTTGGTTGTTTTTGTGTTCTTGGGACCATATTTTTGTTGATCTTGACCTTTGACCAATCAGATCCAAAAATCATCGACACACACACACACACACACAGGTCCATGTTACATTTGATTTCATTATCATAAAGTTTGTGTTTGTATGTTTTGTTTTGCTATTCATCCTGGAAGGAATCTTGAGAATGACTCCTTTAATTGCTATCGATATATTTTGTGAACAATCAATAATTAGTACTTTGTGTTTAGTTTGTGTCTAATTATCAAATTGAATCACACTAACAAGGTCAAACCAGAAGAGGAAGTATGGTCGAAAAAAAGATCCCGTTAAATTCTGGTGTGGATCTGGATCAAGGGGCAGATCCAGGAGTTTTCTTTCACTTGTGTTAACATTTGCATTGATTTTTCTGAATACTTGATCTTGATCTGGATCTAAATCTGGATCTAATGAATTGTATTGTGGTTTCGTAAGCGGACTGTTGGGCCTTGGCAGAGGTAAAGACTCTCAGTGCCATTCTGGTTTACATTTGAAACACACACAAGAGCTGAATTTAATCTCCACAGGCCTGCAGCTTTAATATCATCTGTTTTAAATGTTTCATCTCCACATATCACTTTCAAGCGGATACTGTTTCGAGTATTTAGTTCAGCTCTAAATATATTTCTACCTTTTACGTGTTGACTTGTGTTTGATAGATGAACCTGAAGAGAAGCCTGTGTTTTGTTGGTTTCATTTCAGTTTTGCGTCTTTCTCTTGTGTTTGTTACATCTGCTCTCACACTCTGTAAACATTTGTAAATCTCTCTTCGGTCAAATATCCACAGAAAGAGGAAAAGAAAGCAAATCTTTTGTGACTTTAATGCGACAGTGTCGGTGCAGTGAGGAGGCGAGGCGACCGTGTCACATTTTTTTGTTTCCTAATGTGTCTCTAATCATGAAAGTGAACTCCTGACACAATAAAAAAAAAAGTAACTTGCGGCTGTGTATTAATTGAAAGGCTCACAGCTGGCAGGACCGATAACTAACTCGTCTCCAGAGCGGAGAACAGAAAGTAGGCTAAGATACAGCCTGAAACCATGGCAACACGTCACCATCATAATCCTGAAATATAACAGGGACTCAGCAGGTCTGTGGTCTCTGTGCTGCGTTTATGCTCACTGATCATCTAGCGCTTGGCTTCTGATTGGCCGCTGAAATGTTGGCACAGATCATTAGAGGATGATAAACTGATTTATGTCGTTTATACAGAGAACAGACTTAGTGTGGAAGGTTGTTAGTGTTTGTGTGTGTTTGCAGGGAACATTTGCATTCTGAAGAATAGGATAATAAGGGCTGGATAGGACGACTCTCACCCTGGAGGTCAGGATGAAGAACTTTAACTCGCTTTATCATGTTCACACAGACGCACTGCATGTTTTCTGATTGTCCGTCCGTCCTGTGCTTGTGAACACGATATATCAAGAATGTCCGGAGGCAAGGATGAACTGATTAGAATTTGGGGGTCGAAGTTCCAAGGTCAAGGTTTCGTTGACCTCATGTTTGTTTATGTTCACAAGAACACGAGGTCAACCTAACCTTGACCTTCTGATAACCTGACGAGATTTCAGTGGTCAAAGGTCAAAGTCTCACAAAAAATTGAATTGTCCTGAACATGATATCTCAAGTCTGCACCGGTTCGTGGACACATTCAACCACAGGGCGGTGACTCTGGTTTATTATTTCCTGTTAATTTAACATTCATATTTATATTCCTTCCTCTGAATTAAACTCCGACCTCCTCCTCCTGCAGGATTCTCCCCTGAAGGCTGTACAGATGCTGTGGGTGAACCTCATCATGGACACTCTGGCTTCTCTCGCTCTGGCCACTGAGCCGCCCACCGAGTCTCTGCTGCTGCGTAAACCTTACGGCCGCAACAAGCCTCTCATTTCCCGGACCATGATGAAGAACATTCTGGGCCACGCTGTGTACCAGCTCGTCATCATCTTCACCCTGCTCTTCGCTGGTGAGCGATGCGTCAAACACTGACAACGAATTTGCAAACTGTAGAAACCAGACGAGCAATTCGACCACGTCTTCCCCAACATATTGGACAAATTCAGAGGAAACACATTGATATATAAGTTATTTATTGTTCAATGATCTCCTGTGTTGTTGTTTCTCAGGTGAGACGTTTTTCGACATCGACAGCGGCCGCAACACTCCCCTGCACTCACCGCCAACTGAGCATTACACCATCGTGTTCAACGTGTTCGTCATGATGCAGCTCTTCAATGAAATCAACGCCAGGAAGATCCACGGAGAAAGGAACGTGTTCGAGGGCATCTACAGGAATCCCATCTTCTGCAGCGTCGTTCTGGGAACCTTCATCCTGCAGGTAACACATTATCCTCCTCATCATCATCATCATCATCTAAACCTTTTCTCTCATAGATCAATTCCAATTCAAAATTGATGATATTGAATAATTAATATCAAGGGAGATTGAAGGAGGTTCTGAACATTACTTGTCACTGCTTTTATGATATAATTATCTCATTAGCTCCACCAATTATGATGTGTTTTTAACCCCCACCTGTTTATTTGTCAGTCAGCAGGATTACACAAAGACTACTTTAAAAATAAATTAAACTGCTACGTGCAGCGGACTGCTCAGCCTTGACCGAGACTTTCAGTGGAGTTTTCTCCTCAATTTTTGTTTTTAATTAAATTAAAAAATAAAAACATTATTGTTATTAGATTTTTATAGAAGATGAACTTTTGTCTGATGCATGGCTCCCCTGTTGGGTGTGTTTTGGTCTGTACCAGACTTCATACAACAAATTATTCATTGTTTAATAATCATTGTTATTCAGAGCTCTGTGTCCTGGTTCTGTCTGTGCAAAGTGTCTTAGGATCCCCAAAACACTGCGACAGCTGTAGACACAGAATTGGTTCAGACTGTGTCAATGCACCAAAGGCTCCAGAGTGTTAAACACTCAAAATTCAACTAAAGGTCTTATTCTCCCTTAATCTGCAAAAACTGAAAAGAAAATAGGCGAGACAAAAAAAACATCATGTTTGTGTCTCTGCTCCTGAGGTTCAGTGTCTCTTTTACTCATCCTGACCTTTTGGTTGTATCTCGCAAAGGACAACACAGTTATTACTGTTTTTCAGCGATGGATTCATTCACGTTTGCTTCTCTGAGTATTTGGGGTGGCAGGAACAGAGAATGTAGGATTGAATATGAATAAACTACAGTGTGTGTTCATGGTAATGACGGAAGTTGTCATTGTTTTAAACAACAATAGAGCAGGATGGAATAAAAGAGAGAGAAAACATCTCAGGCTTTTGGGGACACAGACGGTACGACCGACGAGGATCAGTTCAAAAAAGTGCTGCTCATCACCAGACATTTACATTTAGACTGAACCATTAGAGTTTGTGCAGCTTACACATTCCTTCATTACTTCTCCTCCTCAGATCGTCATCGTTCAGTTCGGAGGGAAGCCGTTCTCCTGCACAGCTCTGACCATCGACCAGTGGCTGTGGTGCGTGTTCATCGGTGTGGGAGAGCTGCTGTGGGGTCAGGTGAGCACCAGAAATACACCCACAGGTGTTTATATTCTCATCAGACGGCGTCAGAACTACACATGAATCCACATGAGTTCTGACGATGGTAAATATAAACTGAGGCGAGAGTGAAGAGGTGGATACATGAGGTTTGTGGCAGCAAACTGTTGCCTGTCACTCTTGTGCTGCTGCTGCTGCGTTGCTATCACGACCATCGCCATGGTAATGAGCTCCGCAGATGAAAGCAGCGCGACTCCTGTATATGAGCACTGAGCAAAAACAAACCCAGCGTGTCAGTCCCTCTGTGCATTCACACACACACACGCGTGGTGCGGTTAACATGTACGCACACACAAACACACACAGGCTTAGAAAGCATATGTTAAATAGGAAAAAAAAGTTGTTGGAAGCGTGGTGGGTTCAGTTGGAGGGTAGAGACGGAGAACAGAGACAGAAAGATGCTGACAGAAACAGACTGATCTGAGGTGTGTGAGGTAGAGGTAAAACACCGTCTGTTTTGAACACACACAGAGAGAGAGAGAGGAGGAGAAGGTAACAGAAATATAAAAAGCTGATGTGCAGGAGGCTGGGTGTCGGTCTCCTGCCTTTTTTATTAGAACATTGAACAAACAACAAGTCAAGAGCAGTAAAACAACACAGGTAACTCAATATGATATAAAGTCAACACTCCTTCATGTCTGGCTTCACACAAAAACTAATCGTGTCAACGACTGATAATGTTTGAGATCTTTTAAGAGTTGAACTTGAGGAATGTTTTTTCTTATAAATAATTAGATAATTGTTGATTTATAACACAAACAACTGAGATATCATCAGTTTTCATCAATTTTTATTTTATTTTTTATTCAATTTAAACAACTTTTCAGCCTTAGCAGAGGTTTGGCTCTTCTGAGTACTATGCTAGTCCAATGTTAGGCCCTAGTATGAATGAAACTCCAAAAAACTGGTGTCCCATCTATATAAATATAGATAGAAATGGCAAAAATATATGGCTATAAGTCCTTATCCTAATACTTTGTGTCATAGTCATGTGGAAAAATCGAGATGGATATTAATGAGACAACTGCAACACCCGTATCAAGACTTTGTCGGTAATTTACACGCTGAGTTAAACAAACTGCTTTTTTTTTTTTGTCAAACTCAGCTGATCTCGGCCATCCCCACCCACCACCTGAAGTTCCTAAAGGAGGCCGGTCACGGCACCACAAAGGAGGAGATCCACGAGGAGGAGCTGACGGAGGGAGCAGATGAGATCGACCACGCCGAGATGGAGCTGAGGAGAGGCCAGATCCTCTGGTTCAGAGGTCTGAACCGCATCCAGACCCAGGTATGACCCCAGGACACACCCATGTCAAACTTTATCACTAACTTTAAGTGTAAGAGGTGGTATTTATGAAGATGATATATAATTACTCAAATATCTGTTCTGTCAGAGCTGCTGAGAATTATCAGTTGTCATGGAAACACAGGACTCAGGATACTTACCCACACTATGTATTCCCTCGCCCTTTACTCTCATATCTCACCTTAACCCTGACTTTAACCTAATTGTAACCTGAGCCTTCAAACCAAACCTTAACCCTGCAGCTGCACCCAGTGGGACGTACATTTGTGTTTCCACAGTGACACGAGTCCCAATGAGTGTGTATTCAGGTTAAAGTCCCCGCCGGGATTAGAAAATAAAAAAACAAGCCCATGCATGCACATAAAAACGATGTTTTAAATTCAGATAATCAGGGTTTTGTTTTTTCCCGTAAGCAGCTCATACATTCCCCTCAAAATATGTTTTTTAATAAACGTACGAGTCTGCTCATTTTTTAAGCTAGTCGATTAAAAAATCTTTGATTAGCAGCCGTCCTTGAACAGTGGAACCCTCACCTCACATCTCTATCTTCTGACTCATTGCTGGATGTGTGTGTGTGTAACAATCCTCCTACAGGATAGAACAACACGCACTGAGCATCAGCATGTCCACAAGCAGTCCCATCCAGTCCCTATGGGCTTCATTAGCATCGATGCTAACACCCACCTGAAGTAACAGCAGCCAACACAGTTCTCCCACACACACACACACACACACACACACACACAC